TGACTAAATCATTTTATTAGTACTATGATCCAGGAATTTTATGAGGTAATAGTCTACTATCACTGGCTCTTAGTCTACTATAGAAAAATCAATAAGGAAATCCTGAAGCACATTACCATCAATTACCATGTACAAAGTGATATTTCTTGATAAATTAGTCGAATTTTCCGGAATTATAATGATGAATAATTTAATAACATTACGAAATTCTGAAAATGCCATCTTTGATTGGAATGCGCTGAAGCAATACATTCCGACGGTAATTTTCAGTCTTCAATTTTTAATACTTGATAGAAGCTCGAAGGAATGAATTAAATATTTAATATTCAATAGCACTCCCATTGCTCAACCTTTTCACTCGTTGGCGTTGTAAATAATAATTAGGTATCCTAATTAACAATTATTTTGTCATAAAATGAAAAGAACAATGAAAGTCGAACTATATGATTTCTTTTAATTATGTATCGTATTTTGTGACAATGTTTTTGGATATGCACAAACATATACCTACGCTCGATTGAAAATTGTACACAATTCGATGAGATGAAAAAACACAAAGAACTCATCGAAATGAGCCTTTTTTTCTCTTTGATCCCGTAACATATTTCCTTCATTCATTTCACCTGTTATTTCCAAAGCATTTTTCTTATTTCAAAACGTTAAATCGAAGTAACATATAATAGCACAAAATGATTTGCAAATGTGGTCACTATGAACGGAACCAATTCAAATACAATCTCGTTGCCCGTGTTCCATTCACTCAATTTCACGGAAAACAACCGTATTCAATATTAAATATGGTTTATAGTGTACATTGAAATGTGAACATTTATATTCATCAGTTGCTCACAACAACTCAAAATCGGTATGTTTCATGCGATAGTTTACTGCGGAAGCCAAGTAATGTTCATCGAGTGGACGGTTTCAGAGATGGAAAAATAATACTTTGAATGAAATTTTGACAGCGTTTACAGCTACGTTAATGGGTATTTAAGGGCCAAAGAATTCTTCTGACTCCGGAATTTACACTCATTGAGAATATCAAACACACACAAAAAATCTCTTTTCAAAAAAAAAAATCAACATTTTGAATATGATTCATCTCTGCTTGACTTCCACTGTCAATAAAATCATGCTGGTTTCCGGAATCAAAGGAGAAAAACGTACGATATGTTGTAAATTGGAATGATTTCCGCTTGCACGAGCATCGGGTGAAAATTGATGTATTCCATCATATGGCAAAGGGCACTTGAAGCTCAAGCGGAAATCGAAACCGCTGTTTATTAGAAATTGATCACATTGTTGTGTTTCAAATGGAACAAACACAACGCGCGAAAATATGCGCGCGCCCGACCACCGCGCGGTACACAATCGCATGGTGCCATTGAGAAAATCCCTTTGATTGCATAATTACAACGTGAAACAATGCACAAAGATTGTATGTCGCGCGCACTTTGATCCCATTGTGTTACACATTCATCAGCATTTTCTAATTGATAATGAACGCCATGAAAAAAAGAAGAAGAGAGGAACTGATGTTGAATGGCATGAATGCGCACGGAACAGTATCATGCAAAAGGTGTGAATAAGCAGCACTTGTTAAGCTCAAGGGGAAGCGAACAAGAAGCAGCAACAACAACAAGAACCAGACTCTTTGACATACAACAAATTGGATCGCTTTCGGTGGAATTGAAATTGAAAAAAAAACAATCGTGAATGAATGCTTGTACCCACATAAAGTGCAAGACAAAAACAAAAAGAAAAGAGGATGCGACGCGAAAATTCAATGGGGTGAATGCCGCACGTTCGAATGAGATGCCTCAATTATGTTTGAATTGATATTTTTTACGAGCAAAAAAAAACGAACACACAGTTTTTTTTCATCCTCACCCAGACAATTCTTCAACAACCTCCAAGAAACTGCGCTGGAATACGCTCCGACTCGTTTGTGATTTTAAACAGATACTTTTTGCTCGGAAAATTAATGGAAATCGATAGCGAAAGATAAATGCACTGTCGAAGAAATTTGAACTGTTTGCCAAGCAAATTGATTCGGCTCAAAAGCTTTCTTCGCTTTACAAAATTAGTCAGTCTTAAGAGCTAAAATAAGAAATCTCCGAACTGTTTCGTGGTTATTGATCTTTTATGAATTTTTTTTCTATATTTTGGTTCAACCATGTGTTGAAATATTTGGATTTTATTCATGTGGTTTTGGATTTGATGTCGCCATTTTCAAGCAAATTCAATATTTGCGACTATTTTCGTTAAAAAGGCAGTTAATATTGTTGTTATTTGTCTACCTTTAGTAAAGTTGAAAAAAAAAACTCACATTTATGTGCTGCAATTTGAAACACATTCACGTTTTTTCGATGCCATTATTAATGAGCCTTGATCCTATAAAAATAAGAAAACTTTACCACTCCATTTGCTGTATTGTGCTTGGTTTTCCTTTTTTCTTTTCACAAGCCTGATTTCATTTGTTTGGATTCAAAAGAGAGAGAGAAAGAGAGAGAGAGAGAGAGAGAGAGAGAGCGTTGTTTCTCCACCAAAAAGTAAAGTGGTCGATTGTTTATGATGTATTGTGTGTTTGTTTAAAACTGAGTATTTTTGGAGAAAAAAAATTGTATTATTTCTGTATCTTTTGCACAAAACCATCTGGAGCGAGTCAAGAGCTAAAAACAAGCCATCAATCATGTACCGCTACGGCAGAAAATCTCTCAAAAAATAGACGGCTAAAAAAACTGTTTGCAGAGCAAAGAGGAATAAAAAAGCAAGTCGTGTGCTTGGAGTTTTGTGTGAGGGGATGACTTGTTAACACAAACAATAAGCAAAACAGAGCAAAAAGACGCGCGTTTAATTTATTTTCAGTGAAGTCAAATAAGAAACAAAACATCCGAAAATGTGAAACGATATAGTGACTGAGCGAGCAAGCAGAAGTCAGAAAAAAATGTATTATTCAACAAAACTTTGAAATGCGTTGGGAAAAAATGAGGAAGTCGGTCGTATGAAATTTGAATGAGAAGAAATGAGCGTAGATTTTTTTGGTGCAAATTATTTTTTTTCCTTTGTGTTTGTCAAATCATACACACTTTGTACTGAGGAAGGATGAAATGAGCAATGCGAATTGATACACGTATTAATGTGGATTCAATGAAGAAAAGAGTGGCATGACGCTTGGCATTTACACGCCTCATGCCTTTTGATCCGATTAGACATATCAGAGAGGCAATTGAAACGTCAAAATGTACAAAGTCATAGCTCGATTCAGTTGTGTGTTGAGTGTTGTTGGTTTTTTCCATCTTTAACTTTGAAGCCAGCCGTCACCATGCAAATCTTACCCACTACACGGATTCTTTGAGCTGAAAAATAAAAGAACAACAAAAGCTAAGGGGAAAATGAGCACACAAAAAATAAGTGATGTTTCGTCATTTACGTACTTTGTATGACAAATCATGCGTGTGTTCGTGTGAAGTTTGTGAGAGAAACAAACAGCGAAAAAGTTCTAGCAACAACAAAACTTTTTTCTCTCTCGCTGCTCTTCTTCTCATTTGCCGCCGCGGGTGCGAACGACAAAGTATGTTGACGCCACGGAAAAAGTCGAAAAACGATACGCAAAAACTCAATTTGTGCTTATAATAGCTGCGCAAAATGTGCAATTCATGCCAATCGATCCAACATCGTACACACTATATCATCCTCTCATTTCGATACAATTTCTCCTTCTTCTTCATCTTGTTACTTGTTGTTTTTTTCTCGTTCGTTTAGGCTATGTCGAGGTTTCTTTTTTATCTTTTACTTCAGCCCTCGTCGCTCATGAATACGCTTTGTTTGCACATTAATATGCAACTGATGCGCGAGAAATCCAGACATAATGCTATTAATCTGTTTGCTGAGAAATTGGACGCTCCAGCGAAAATAGAATCGGCTCAAACAGAAGCCATTCCATTCACAGTCATTGTGCGTCCAGGTCCTATTGTTTCCACGTACGTATTTTTATCTACTCTCAGAAAAAAAAGACAAAAAATACACGCACACACTTCATACAAAGTCATGGAATTTAATCCAATGGAAAGCAACATTTTTTCTTGTGCTTCTCATAAGGAACATTTAATATTTATGACGGAAATGGGTTTTGGAAAAACCATTTGAAGAAATTTTATTCAGCACATCATATTTGTGGATTGTTTAGATGCCTTTGTTTTCAGTGCCCAAAATGGGTGTGAAAATTTATAAATTTGATTAGGAATGTTTATTAGGATTCAGCAGTGTGTGAATATCATTTTGCGAAATATTAAATACAATTGACTTAAATACAAATTGATGGTATCTTAGTTTAAATTTCATTAGATTCAGATTCTTCTTCTCACTTCCTGAACCAAAAAAAAAATCTTTTCTATCACAGAGAGATTAATTATTGATATATCAATAATATTTTCCAATTTTATTTTCATTAGGTTTTTGATGACAAAAATAACTAAAAACCAAGTATATGCAAAGAATAGGATATTTTAAAATTTATATCTCACTCCGACAAATAAAGCGTGAACTTTGAGAACTTTGAGAAACAAAATTCATTTAGTTCATTTAGCAAAAATGGAAAATATTGAGACTTATTTTGAACAAAATTTTATTTTTCATTGAAATACATAAATTTCCACGAAAATACTTTTAGACTATGACATATTTTCTTTCATATCAATCGGATATTGATCCAGCAAAATAAATTCATATAGTGAGTTTGGAATAGTGCTCTCAGCAAGAGTTACTTTTTGCAAAGTATCAGGAGAATGTTGGCTTTATTTCAGTACATCGCTGTCAACATAAATGCCATTTGTTGCTATTAATGTATCGTCCGACGTTTTGGCTATAAATGGAAAATATTTTTCCCGCAACACATTCATTGGCACAGGAGGTGCTTGAGAATCAGGCGATTTTAGTAGAGCTAAATAGTCGGTTTCGCCTGAGTTGAATCGGTTCTCGTTCGCCTCTACATACGGTTCATTTAAATCGATATAGTGGTCTGACACATTATTTCCAACCATTTCTGAAATAATTTTTTCCAATTCACTGAATTTCGGACGTTTCTCGGGATTGCAACACCAACACGATAGCATAATATAGTATCTGCATGGGAAATTTAAAACATTTTGAAACCTTCAATTCCACGCAATTTTTCAAAAAATTCAACACTTACATGCATTCTGTGGCGAAAGCCGGCTTCTCCATTCGATAACCGTCATTCAATTTGTATTTCAAATCTTCAATTTTAATGCATGAATATGGTTTTGCACCGAGTGAAAACAGCTCCCAAAGAACGATTCCAAATGACCAAATGTCCGAATATGTGCTAAACACACCATTATTTATTGATTCTAGTGCAAGCCATTTCAATGGCAAGTTGTGCTAGCAGTTCCAAAATACAAATTATTGATCTATGAAAAAATCCTACATATGTCCCATTATAATGGGACAAATAAATAATTATTATTTAATTTTTACCTTGGTCTTCATATGATAGTTCTCATTTTTGCACAATGATCGGGCTAATCCGAAATCACAAATTTTCACTATATTGTCATCACATAGTAAAATGTTTCGCGCCGCTAGATCCCCATGCAACACTTTGCGTGAGACCAAATAATCCATTCCACGCGCAATTTGGAATGACCAGATGAGCAAATCTTCAGTTGTAATCGAACATGGTGAAGACTCTGTTGTTTCATCCATCATTACCAGACAGCTGCCACCTGGGTAAATGATAAGAATTGTGAAATGTATTTTTAAAATTAAAACCCTAAAGAGTTTGACACTCACTTCCTGAAGCAGATTGAAGTATCGGTTCCAAACTGGAACCACCAAATGTATGATTACATGCTTTTGATCGATAACAACTGTTGAAGAGATAGATTTTATAATCGAGAAGAATATTCCAAATGTGATGTTTTAGTACCAGCCTGAATTCCTGTCTATTTTACCAATTTTAGTATTAATTTGATTTGTGCCTGGCACAATTTGATCCACAAAATATCGACGATTTTTCGCCAAAAAACTCTGAAGATTACCAAATGGACAGTGTTCAACGATGACCATAAGATTGACTATCACCAAATGAAGGTGAAAGAAAAGAATAAAATGAATCTTTTCAATTTCATAGAAACAAAGAATGACAAAACGACGATTATCTAACAAAATTAAGAATAATCTTTGATAACTTGAGGCGACTGCCACTATTTTACTCACAGTTTGTAATATCCGTAGTGACTGCGCCGAGTAAGTTGACCACATTCAAATGTTGACCCAAATGGACCATGATTTTCAGTTCAGATACTAGTGCCCGCATCACCTGTTGAATTCATTCAGTTGTGAATGAAATGAAAGAATTGAAAAACTCCAATCAAAATATTTCATGGTAAATAATGTTTTGATGACAAACCTCATTACAAGCAATCTTCTTAACCATTTTGACGGCAACTTTTGTCTCCGCTTCATGTGTTACAATTCCTTGTGCCGTTGCCTCGAGCACAACTCCAAAAGCGCCAGAGCCAAGTTGTTTGCCAAGCTTAAGTTTGTTGCGTGGAAATTCATATTTCTGATCATACGGAAGCAGATCAGCCTGTACATCTAGTGCCAATTCGGGCTTCAGATTATTTACATCCCCCGCAACAAAGTTGGCCAAACCTGCTCTTTCAAGTTGGTTATAGACAGAGAATCCTCTCAACGATTGACAAATTACCAATATAATAATTATCAATATCAATAGTCCAAGAAAAAAATATTTTCGCAAGTACCACGGCACATCTTAAATAAAATCGAACACGAAATAGTTTACAGCATTTTTTCTTGGAATCAAAAGTTATTTTCCCTTACTGATTTCTATGGTGATTGAACGGGATTGATGAGAGTTTTGTCCATATTTAGCCTCACATTCGTATTTACCTTCGTCATCCTCTATAGCGGATTTAAATTGAAGCGTTTGTCCATCATTTTCCAATGACATATGATTACGGTCAGTAATTTGAATTGCCTTTCTCGCATCCTTTTCATACTTGTACCAATTTAATTCTGGCTGTGGTTCTGCAGAAAAATTACACGTTAAATTAAACGATTGCGATGGCTCAACATTCCATACGGCCCCATCAACGAAATTGGAAACGATTGACGCCTCTTCTCTGCTAGTGTTCACATTTCCGTTACGGAGGGTTTCATTATTACGATCAATTGTTCTAATTTTGTTGGCTAATTTTGATGAACTTTGATTTAAAAACTGTGGATCTGAGTGAATAACTTCATTTAGAAAAATGAAAAACACAACACATATGATGACGTGATTCATTTTAGATCTCAAAAAAATTCTCTGAGTGTGAATGTGTTAAGTTTAGTTCTTAAACTGGTTGAATACAAGTTCGCATAACACAGCCTCGTATGCAAAATCTTTTTTTTTTGCTTCATGAGTACACTTTGCGTATATCAGCAGAAATGTTCCCAAGTGAAAAAAAATCTTGAATAATGAATCCTACTTTGCTCCCAAACATGTTTATAACTGCATAAAGTCGTCCTCATCCGAACTTAAAGACCAAAACTACCTAGCTCATATGCTATAGCAATGTTTGACGTTTAGAACTGCTGTGGAAACTTTGTTGGGAGCGCCGCCAATCACAAATTTCTGTAACTATACGTACGTGTGAAAGTAAAGTCTTTGTGTGCGTTGTACACAGAGATGTTGATTCGTGCTGCCATATGCAAACGTCGCATCATGTTAGGCGGCGCTATTGATATACTTTGCTTCAATCGTCAACAAAATACATAGAGTATTCCTCTGTTTTGCTAAAGACTGTTGACATTTTTACACGGGTTAAATACGTGTTTTGCAATAAAAATGACGATGTTAACTGAATTAATCATGTCCATATCAGAAAAATTTAAACTGAAGTTCTTATTAATAAATAGCAATGAATCAACATACATTCTTCACAACTGAATAAGAAAGCAACGATTTTGATTATATTTACTGCTTTTGATTGAATAAATTATCACAATATATTTTTATAATTTCGAGACGGGTTTATCTTGTATAGAATCATGAGTAATTCAAGCAGATAAATCTTGTTATGAGTATTGTTTTTACAATGTGTTGAATTGAGTAAAATGCTTTGGGATTGATCATTGCGGAACTTTGTAAATCAATTTCTGCATTTTTGTTACCAAATATTGCTAAACAAAGTTAACGCAGTACACATGGTCATTTTCAAAATAGTTCATACTAGTGTAGTTATGCTGCAATATTTATATGCACGTCATAATCAGTGGAGAAGAATGTCATGGAATGGTATGTATTCGAATAGTGTCGCTATTCTATATCTCCATCTCTTATCAATTGAATTCGTGGAAATTTCTTTGTTCATTGCTATTTTGAAACGGCAACTTATACAACGACCGAGTGAAGCTGATAATCACAAAGGGCTTCCGTTCATTTGAGTAATTGCCTCTTTTTCACATTTGGAACTGACGTTTGCTATATAAGAGAAAGAAAAAGAAGAAGTATAGTTGGTGAATCTGAAAAAAAAAACGAAAAAAACTTCATTTCCACTAACCGAAGTTCTTATCTTACACATAACACATGTAATGAGCATATTTAATTATTTACAATATACAACTACGTGAAACAAAATAGAATGTTTATCGTCAATTGCGGAAGGGCATTTATTTCACAATAAATAAAGGTCATTATTTAAATATTACAAATTAGAAGATCATTGTTTAGAAGTTACAAATCATCGTATCAAATTAAAAGATTTTTCCCACCAAATATAATTTCTTTTAAGTCTATAAACTCGAATTATGAAAAACTGGAAATTCTTCGCTGTGATATGATAAATTACAATAACATGACTAATTTGAAATGATATATTTCCTAATAAAGGAGAATAATCTCTCGTCCTATTTAAACGATTTAAAAGAAATTTATAATGATAATCAAGAAGGATACAAGATCTTCAAGAGAAATCCTTTAATTCTGTTGGGATTATTTACTATCTTGTTTTTTTCACAACGCTAGCATATTGATCTGTAATTGGCAGAGATGCATTGGAAATATGACCGTAGGAAAGAAGACATTTGTTCTCCGTAGGCGGCATTGGAAGCGGTCGATTTTCAAGTGGTAGCGTATCCTCTTGACAAACACTAGACGATAGGCTTTTAATTTCAATCTCTTCGTAATGTGGATCATTGTTTGTTTTGATTGGCTCGAAGGGTCGGTCAGTCGCATCCAGTTCAATTGTTTGAACTCCAATATCTGTTTTGACAAAACTTTTGATTTTTCTGTAATCTTTCTTCTGGCAAACATAACGAGCTATCTCCGAAATTGTAAAAATCATTATGATTATGCATAATGTGATGATAGTGATAATATATGGTAGTGTTGAAGGGCATGAGGTTACACCAAACATTTTTGTATCTGCATCTGCATCAGTTTCCTGATGTACGTTATTGTTTAATTTTTCGCTACTGCTTGACGTTTCATTGTTGCAATCAATTCCTTGGATGTTAGTTCTTTCCTTGGATGAAGTGCTTGAAAATTTTAAATTTTTACCATGCCATTGGTTCACAAATTTTCTCAAATAATCGCAAGTAAATTGATTATTCGAGATCGAAAGTGACTCAAGTTTCTCTAAATTGGCTGAATTCACACCATCTATGGCGGTCAATCGATTGCCCCCTAAATTTAACGTTTTTAAATTGAAAAATTTCTTACAAAATATTGTTGCATCAACTTCAATGAGTTCGTTACACGATAAATCAAGTTTTTCAATCTTTGTTTGATATAAAAATGCGTTGACTTCAATCATTGATATATTTGCATGTGTCATTGTGAATTCTTTCAAATCGTTGAATTTTTCCAACATGTCTTTACTCAGTGTTCCAATGACACTGTTTGTTAAACTCAGCACCTGAAGAGTGCGACCAAATCGTTTGAGAATTTCCGACACATTTTTCAATTGATTGCCCGAAGCCCGGAATGTTTTGATATTTTCGAAGTATTCGTCATCGTTAAAATCGTTCGGGCGATCGATATCCAAATTCGTAATTTTATTTGCTGGAAGATGCACCTTCACCACGCCTGCTTCTCTTGAAAATATTTTGAAACTGAAGCTTTCCATTGGATTATTCCGTATGTCCAGAAATTCAAGTAATTTATTTTCTTTGAGTAATTGTTCAGATATCGACTGAATTTTATTATGACTCAAATCAATTCTTTTTAGTTTTGATAAATTAGCAAATGCACCATTATCCAAATGTGCGATTAAATTATGAGCGAGATTTAATGATTGAAGATCGTTGTTTTGATTGAAATGACACTTTGAAATTCTTTTTATATTGTTGGAGCTCAAATCAATTTCGATTAAATTTGGCATTCGATCCGAAACTGAAACGTCTTTTTCAACCAAATGGTTATATGATGCCGTAAATACTTTAACACTTTCGAGTTTATCCGACGAAAAGCCTAGTTCCGATATATTAAGCGATGAAACATCAATTTTAAGCAAACTTGTTAGGTTGTAGAATGTCTCATTTTTGATGAATAAAGTTCCTAATGGTTCGTCACACTGATACTTCAACACTCGCACTTCTGCTTTGTCGCCATTTTTCACGCATTCTCGATTTAATGCTGGTCTAGTTTTATCATCACAAACCATTTCAATATATCTCATGCCATTGTATGTGCTAAAACACCCAACAAAACCAGAATCGGTACTTTGAACACTAGATTCACTTTTGAATATTAATAAAACGAGGAAAACGACTACCAACTTCATTTCTTTCCACCTTTTGAAAATTGATTTTAAAAAAGGTACTAATTGACTATTTTCTTGAGCCAAATGTGTTATGGGTGTGATTATTTCAAGTAGAATCACAAAACTGAATTTAACTTAAATGAACTTATCACAATCTACATGCAAACCTGCTCGCTCCATGCGTGATCGCTCTGTTCATGCACTCAAACGGAAAATGTTTGTATACGAAGTTTTATCACTTGACATTATTTACTCATTCATATCACAAGTCAGTCAGCATGTGGCATTTTTTTTTAACGAATATAATAAACTCTTCGTTGGCCTTTCGAAGAGTGAATTGAGAATGTATTTAATTTTTGCGCATTTTCTCCTATCGAAAAAATTTAATATTGTTAACGTCTAAGTTGATTAACGGTGAAAAAATTTAATGCATATAAATGTTTCATAACGAAGCTCGTAAAAATAACCAACATTTAATAATGATATGTTTCGTTAAAACAACATGCATTTCTTAATTGTGACTTTATTTTTTTATCTAACTACAACCAGCGATGACTGAAGCGTACCGAGTGACTGAGCAGCGGCCGCAACGTAATCTGCGTGCGTCATTAGGGTGGCTCTTTTGCAGACAAGTTGCGATTTTCTATCGGGCAACTAGTTTAAAAGTTGTGGCTCGATCCAAAAAGAAAAAAAATGCCTTCTATATCGATTTTGGAATACGCTAACACGTTCCGAAAAATCTATGTAGTTGATATTCTTTGTTTAAATGAAAGTTGTTCATTTTTATGCATTTTTATGCATTTTTCACACACTCTTACGCAATACCGATATTTTTCATAGTCATATTCGGATTGCTCGTGAAAAATTACATAAAAAACAGTCAATTTGAAATGACTTTAGTGCAGTTACTACCCTTTGGAAGGCTAAAAACACCAAAAATCGTCCAAATTTCACATTTTTCTTCATAAACTTAGCATCAACGCGGTAAAATACATTCAAATTTCCCTCTTTCTTGATTTGATCAATGTAATTCACGCGATTGTAATGTGAACGAAACATGCATACATCCCGCAAAATGTCAAATCGAGCTGAATCGAACATTGTTTATTTAATACAAATTGTTTATATTTCTGCGGAGTCGCTTTGGCGCATGTTACACATTCAAGTGACAGCTATCGTGTTAGCACGTGTCAGTCGGCATTGGAAACTGTATCAATTCGCAGTACTGTTGCATTCTAATTGTAAAATTGAACAAAATTCACTTTAAAAAAATGTCATCGCAACCACCGGCAAAAAAACTTCGTTCAGATTCGAAAATTTACATTCTCGGGCACACTGAACATCAAATAATAGGTTCGAAATTGCCATCAAATCGACAAGTTCTTTCAGTTTTTCTGCATAATATGCGTGAATTTAAATTAGGGTACAAAGAGAGCTTAAGACTTGTCATCGAAGAAGCAAGTATATTTTGGGAGAACGCTGGAATTCCAATATCAGAAAAATGGTACTGCCGTAAAAAATTGGAAAATTGGCACACTGATTATAAAGATTTGCAAAGATCACACACAAAACCATCCGAATTTCAGACTAGAAAAGAGCAAGAGTTCATTGATAAACTTGACGACTTATTTGACATTGCTGCGAAAGATGCACTCACTTCAATGACGAACGCGATTGACAGAGAATTTTTGCTTGCGCAAAGAAAGAAAGGTCGCGAAGGAAGCTTGATTGGTGTTGACAAAAAAAGCAATGAAAAAGAAGAAAAACGAAAAGAGAGAAAGCGTAAAGAATGGGAATCTGAGGCAAAGCGAAAAATTATTGCGGAACAAGAAAAGCAACGATATGAACACGGTAAAATGTTCAATATTTTCCTTGTGTTTTGAAAAGTATGACGTAATTTTTCAGTTCATTATGATACTTTGAGCGGCCTTGAAAGCGACGATGAAGGTGGTATCGACGACGTTTTTGAATTGCCAGGACCATCACGTGTTCGATCAAATCCCAAAATCAACATGTATACGGCAAGATTAGTTGGAGCTCTCGATAAATGCAAAATATCAGATCGTTTCGCAATACATTTGATAGCCGCCGTTATTCATGCACTCAAATTAAATATTGATAACTACATTTTGGGCCGCCATTCACTTCAAATATCTCGCAAGAAATTCCGTCAAGAAATCGCCGATGAAGCTCTAAGAAGTATTGAAGTAATTCATTCAAATATTTATAATGATGCGATTCGAATTAAATTTGAATTTGAATTCTTTTTCTCTTTTAGTACTCAAATAAGAAAGGCTTAGTGATTCATTGGGACGGTAAAATGTTACCGGACAATTCAAGCAACAAAAAAGTCGATCGATTACCAATCGTTTTGACGCAGGCAGGTGTCGGAAAAATTCTCCGCGTTCCGAAATTGACAAGAGGAACGGGCTTGGCATCTGCGAAAGTAGTGTTTGAAACACTAAAAGAATAACTAAAAATCCCACAGTGCAAATGTTCGAAGAGTTGAAAAAGAATTGGGATCATCTCGACAAAGGTGGAATTGAAGATGAAGAAGTTGCCAAACAAATTCCCTTAGAAGTCTCTGAAGACGTGGTTTCCTTCTGTTTTGAGAACCTAGAGAAACCAATATGTCGCGATGATTACAAAGAATTTCTGGAACTGGTTGTGGTGTTTTTGGGCGAAAGTGTGCCCGGAAGAGAAGAATTCAAGAAACCAGGAGCAATACACCATGCTCGATGGATGTCAAAGGCAATTTGTGCATTAAAAATATTCATGTTCAGAGATCAATTCGAATTTGATGAAGGTGAATTCGAAGGTCTGCGTGATTTTTGTTTATTCCTGATTATATTCTACGCATATCTTGAGCATACACCTCGTATAAGAACCAAATTTTCTTGTGGCGCCACCTAGATGGCTTGCGTGGCGCAATGTATTTTAAATTGTTAGCTAAGTTTTTTCAGCTTAGTACAGAACCATTCTCGGCAAAGATACAAAAGCATGCTCGAGGTATGATTCTACGTGAAGGCTTGGTTCAATTGCACCTCCGCGATAAATGCTCCACATAACGATTTAAATTTCATAAAACAAAGTATAAATTATAGCAGCATTAACAGACATTCTCGAAAAAATATCCAATCATTTATGGTATTTGGCCGAAGAGCAAGTCGCGTTCGCATTTTTCGATTCAACTGTGTCAATCGAAGAGAAAAAAAGAATGGTTGCCGCGCTGAAAATTGAAAAACCATCGACTAGACGTCTCAAAGCTGACGTTTTGGAGCTGCAAACCGATTACAAAACGAAGAACCTAAGCGATTTCGTTTCAATGAACACCATGGAATTTTTCGAACGGTTTGAAATCACAACCGACATTTTAATCTGAATGGGCTGAAAGAGACGACTTCAATGAGGGTTTGGAGACGTGTAAAGCAATTCATGTCGTGAATGATTCAGCGGAACGTGGTGTTCAGCTGTTTACGGACTACAATCAAATTTTGAGCATGGACGAAAAAGAAAAACAGTGCATCGTACAAACGGTTCAACACTATCGTCAATCATATCCATCTCATAACAGAGCGAGCTTAGTTTGAATTATTTACCATTTATTCTAAGAGTATCCATTTAATTTGCTAAAAAATGTAAAAAAACAAAACCGAAATCTTAATTAACAAAAATAATCAAAATTCATGAAAACTATTCTAATCTATTTGTAGAAAAACGTAAATTATTTTCAATAAAACGAAATAAAATGAATTCATCAAGTGGATTTCTGATTATTTCATGTAAATCTATCTTGAAACTATCTTCATAGCAAAAAAATTAGAGATTTTCAATGAAAATATGACAGAAAAATGTGAAATTTGGACGATTTTTGGTGTTTTTAGCCTTCCAAAGGGTAGTAACTGCACTAAAGTCATTTCAAATTGACTGTTTTTTATGTAATTTTTCACGAGCAATCCGAATATGACTATGAAAAATATAGGTATTGCGTAAGAGTGTGTGAAAAATGCATAAAAATGCATAAAAATGAACAACTTTCATTTAAACAAAGAATATCAACTACGTAGATTTTTCGGAACGTGTTAGCGTATTCCAAAATCGATATAGAAGGCATTTTTTTTCTTTTTGGATCGAGCCACAACTTTTAAACTAGTTGCCCGATAGAAAATCGCAACTTGTCTGCAAAAGAGCCACCCTAGTGCGTCATACATGCGCAGTGCTTGTAACACGACCGAAAACGAGTAGTTTTTTCCAAAGTGTGCTGGAAAGTGTATCAATACGTAGTAACGGCCCACAGAGAAACTGTTAGCGTCGTCGTAAAGTTGATTATATTCTAGTAAAGTCATACACGTTTGAAAGAAGTTGCCGAAAAATTCAATGATTCAATGAGTTGGAATTGAGATGGCATTGACTGCTATGTGTCAAATGACTTACATTTGAAATGTATTGTGGCACTATATCTATGATTTAGCCTTTCTGGATAAAGAATAATTTCTAAAAAGTCACGTTTATACTACTGTGTCCAAAAAGTAAGGTGACATTGCATTTAAAATTTAGCGCGCTGGGGAATTTGAAAAAATCCTTTTATTTTTAGGTTGGTAGAGACTGTCTTTGACATCCCTGCCAAATTACACGTCAAAATATTCATTAGTGTTTGAGATACGCTTCGTTTTGTGGACTGCTAAAAGTGAATTTCTCGTTTTTTGCGATGTCGAAATTTGTTGATCAAAGAATTTGCATTAAATTTTGTTTGCGGAATCAATTTTCTGCTGCGGATTCGTTGAGGATGGTGCAGAAAGCCTTTGGTGATGAGGCTATGTCGAAAAAAAATGTTTACAAGTGGTATAGTGAGTTCCAAGCAGGCCGTGAATGTGTCGAAGACGAAGAGCGTGCTGGGCGACCATCAACCTCAACCGACGAAGCTCACGTCCAAAAAAATAAAGATTTGGTGTTGGAAAACCGTCGATTAACGATTAGAGACCTTGCTGATGATATTGGCATATCGAAAGGCTCAGTCAATACCATTTTGAAGGATGTTTTGGGCCTCAAACGCGTCAAATCTCGACTGGTACCGAAATCATTGAATTTTTTGGAAAAAAGGTGTCGAGTTGACGTGTGTGAAACAATGCTTTCTGACTACATTGACAAGACGAAATGCATGATCACTGGAGACGAGACTTGGATCTATGCTTACGACCCGGAAACAACCGACCAATCGAGCGAATATCGTGCCAAAGGTGAGCCGAGACCAAAAAAACCGCGCCAAAGTCGCTCAAAAATCAAGGTCATGTTGACTGTTTTCTTCGATTATCGGGGTGTTGTGCATTATGAGTTCCTTCCCCCGGGTCAAACAGTCAACAAGGAATATTATTTGAGTGTTATGCGTCGTTTGCGTAACGCTATCCGCCAAAAGAGGCCGGAATTGTGGAAAGACAACTCTTGGTTTTTGCACCATGATAATGCATCGTCTCACAATGCGATCATTCTTCGTGAACATTTCGCCAAAAACTCGACTCATATCGTTCCACAACCACCGTATTCACCTGATTTGGCACCGTGCGACTTCTGGCTGTTCAACAAGCTCAAAAGACCGCTCCGGGGACACCGTTTTGAGACGATAGAGCAGATTGAAGCCGCAGCGAAGACGGAGCTGAGGGCCATCCCTGAAGTCGACTTTTTCAACTGTTTCGAAGATTGGAAAATCCGTTGGCATAAGTGCATTGTATCGGGAGGGGATTACTTTGAAGGCGATGAAATTGATTTGGAAGAATAAATAAAGAATTTTCAAAATAAATGCAATGTCACCTTACTTTTTGGACACAGTAGTATTAGATTTAGAAGAAAAATCACCAAAAATGATAATTGCAAAATTGAGTCAGTGCGCGCACTTACTCTTCTAGAAGGTGCGTGTAAACGCACGGAGCAGAAAACGATGCTCAGTTGATCATCTCTGACTAAAACTCATGCTAGCATTGATATCATGACTCTTGTATTAGTAGTACATTCCTTGAACTTTTTGACATGAATCATGTTGCAAAAACAGCGATGATCGCATTCGCGTTTCATATTTCTTCGCAAATAGGTATCATCAAAAATATTCAAACGTTGATCTAATCGAAAAACCTTTGGATTTCGACTTTTATGGAGAATCGACGTTAAACAACATTGTTACTTTAAAAAAAATTTTGAATTCTATTGAATTTTTTTTTTCTTTGCAGGTAAGCTCACTGGATGTGTAAACTTTTCTGGAGGTATTTCATTTGTGTTAAAATTCTACCAGCATTAAAATAAAATAACAACATAACCTTTGTCAAAGAGGAACCACGCATATCACCAATAACAAACCATTACAAAGTAAAGGAAATCAAAGAAATTATCAACATTTTTCATATTTTGTTTTATTGATAATTGAAGATTATTTCTATAATTCAAATCACACATTATTGCATTCCAAACTTTTTTTATGAATAAAAATTAAAATTCCAAACAAAAACAGTTAAACGATTCAAAAGAAATGTATAATGATAATCAAGAAGGAAACAAGTAAGCAGAAAAGAAAGAAAGAAAGAAAGAACGTTAAACTTCAAACAGCCCCAGAAAGATCAAAAACTCACAAAGATTAAGAAATTAAAAAATGTATCATCATGGGTATTGTGTATTGACATCATTATTTCGTTTGTTTACAGTAGCATAATGATGATACGCTTGTGACTGTGCCGATAAGAATGGAGCGGATGTTGTGGTTGGTAGATCGATTTGTGGATAAATAATAGGGATTGGATAATTGGTTGGCCGTACCAATTCGATGTCTTCATAATCTGAATCATGGTCGACAGGAATATCCTTGAATTTAGTAGTTTCAGCACGTTGATCTTGATTTGTAACTTTAATTCGTACGCTCTTTTTTGTAACGAATGTTCTACGAACTAGACAAATGATCAACATCATCATTCCAATACAAAAAGCAGTGCCAACGACTGCATACACAATGGTTTCCCATGAAGTTCTTTTTGAATATGTGAGCGCTGCATTTTCAGCCGTAGTTTCCTCCGCTCCGTCTTCACCCGAATCATCCGAAGTGCTATCTGCTTTCCAATTCTCCAAACATTTTATATTGCTGCAATTAAGTCCAAGATTTCCATCTAAATTCATATTTAAATCGGCATGTTTCTTTGAAAATACACTGTGATTCAGTTTTACTAGATTGTTGTAAGAGAGGTCCAGTTTTATCAGCCATACTTGATAATAAAATGCATCAGTTTCGATGGTGTTTATATTTCCATGACTCAAGCTCAGATATGTTAGTTTTGGGAAATTTTTCATCATACCGAACTTTAGTTCATTCACGAAATTAAACGACAAATCCAAAACTTCAACATTCGAACCCAGTTTGCATAATAGGTTTGTTACGTTCATTCGTTTACGAGATGCATTGAAGTGAATGAGATGTTTGAAGCTATCTTCTTCATGGAAATCCTCGAAGTGGCAAATTGAAGTCCCATCCTTCGATTGGCCGCAACTTACATCCAATTTCTCTAATTCGTTCAAGGGAAGATGTACATCAACGAAACCAACATCTTCTGGAAACATGTTGTAATCGAATGTTTTCAATGGATTTTTACTCAAATTCACATATTTTATACATTTATTGTGCACAAAAAGTTTTTTATCAATCGTTTGGATTTTGTTTACACTTAGATCCAAATTCGCCAACATGTCGAGCATTGAAAAAGCTTTTTGATCCAATCGCGATATCGCGTTGTTCGAACAGTTAATCTCTCTTAGAGAACTGTTAAAATTGGATGAAGCAGGCAGGAAGTTTGATGAATCAAGCGAACGGATTTCATTTGACGAGAAGTCAATTGAATTTATGATGGGCATATAAATAAAAATCTCATTTTGAATTTCACGCAAATGATTATGTGATGCGATGAAAGATTTTATACCCGATTTGTCTTTAATTTCTTCATCTTTCTTTGTCCAAGCGAAATAAAACTTTACGATTCCAAGAGAGGACACATTGATTGTTTGCAAATTTTCGAATTTTTTCAAAACATCTGAGTCAAATTTTAGTTCTGTTTCACTTTTATTTACACATTTTTCTGGATATACGACAATTTCTACCGTTGAGAGACTAAGATTATTGTTTGTATAGGTTACATCGCAATAAGTATCATTCAATACTAACGAATTTTGGCTTGAAAATTGTGAATCTGAATTTATAACTTTATTCAAAATGATAAAAAACACAATAAAAATGATCGAGTAATTCATTTTATGCATTCAACACATTTCACTGAGTGCGAACGCCTAAGGTTTGCTTTTCGAACTGATTGTACACGGTTCATTCTATATATTTTTACTTTTATTTCTATATATCTTACTTCTTATATTTATTTCTTCATTGTGTGCAGCTATTATGTATATCACCGGAAATTTCTCCCCGAGTGAAAAAAATAACAGCATTGAAATTTATGGGAAATGGTCACTCCATCGGAATCAAAATTAAACGGAATTTGCACCAAGTTTGACATTATGAAATTTAACTTAGTCTGTGATCAGCTGAATGCCAGTAATTTTTGTTGTCTCACCTATGGCCGTTGACATTTTTCGGCGGGTTGCTATTACGTATAGTATTTAAATCTTGGAATTGAACAATGAATCGCAAGCTGGCAATAGGCAATACGCAATACACATAAGACAATAACGATTTGTAAATCATGGTTTCGTCAGCAAGATATTGACCAAATCATTCATTACTAAGCAGTGAATCATCGCAATAAAATGAATTCCGTTTAAAAATGAATTTGCACTTGTTTGCTTTCACTTAGTGATAAATAAATTAAATTAATCATGATTTATGAATCTTATTAACCATTTGATGCACAATTTTTTGTTTTTGAATCATTTTGATATATGTTTTGTGCCACGATAAATAGAGAAAAACCTCATACTTAGATTTTTGAAAAATTGCGTATTTGTCGAGAAAATCGGAAAAGAGTCAAAAGTGTCAAATCACTATAAAAGCTTGAAAAAATTAAATTTCATAAAACTAATGATGCAGAAAGTTAAATTGATGTGTTTTGGTCCTACCAGTCCTAATTTGACAATTGAAAAGAATGAACAAACCCACAAGATAAGAGGAGGAAAAATGTGGAATTCTGCTATAATTTCGCATTTTTTTTACAGCAGTATATGAACAGAAAAAACTTTCCATTCAGCTAACCAATTGTAGCCTGTAAAGTATCAAATGAAAGCTAGTTCAATTCCCTACATTTGTTTTCAAACAAGAATGTAAAAATATTCAGTGGTTTCATAGCTATAGCGTCTGGCGTATCTGGTTACTTTAGGAACCGAAATGTGATAAAGGGTTAAATGCATACATTGTAATATTCGGTGAATGCCACTGAAAAAATATTCATACTTATTTAGTGCGTGAGACGCATGGTCACTCATTTAGTGTTGGCTTGAAAAAAATTTGTAATTAAAAAGAGAAATAGATCAATTCAAAATATTCTCATAGTTTGTATCGAATCCAATAATTTTTCTCCGTGCTATCCGAAATCGGGAAATACATAGAAAAATCTTTCATGTCAATTTATGCCATTGTGGGATATATGCTCGCTTCTGACTCAATGTAGTTTCATCCATTTGCGCACAAAGTAATAACGATATTTTTTGATGAATCAATTTTAATCAAACGAAGAAGACTTTTTAAATTAAAACAATAAACTCGATCCTTTGTTTATAATGTATGATGAGGCCACAATTTTATTGAGCAATCTTACTTGATTTCATCACCCAAACATACATTTTCTTAGCAAACAACTGTATACAATTTTACAGCAGATTCTGTTTTTTTTTCTTCAAATGTTCCGTTTTATCAAAAAGCTACTTTTAAGTCGTAAGTAAAGAAAGAAATTACTTTTATCGAAGCCATAACTTTGACAACAATATAAAATTAAACCAAACCACTAAATTTGGCAATTTTATGTTAATATCAAAAGAATTGAAACTCTTAAAACTAATTTTTGCAAATATGGACAGTTCATAAGTTTATAAGTAACTTTTTTGCATTGTGGTAAATCGAGGAACATCATATTGGCTTTGGTTCGAGTTTGAACACTGTAAGTTAATTTCTTCATATATGTTCTCTATCTCTTTTTCCTTCGCTTTTCCTTTATTTGTCCGTTTTTCTATTTCTCGTCCGGCTGTAATCTGATCCGTGAAATGGTTTTCCCCATTTAAACGTCGTCTTCTTGACTTTCGGCACATAAACAAGATCGCGATGAAGTTGAATAAGGCAATAAAAAACAAAGCTCCAATGATGCCATAGGTCCATATTAACAGCAATTTTTCGTTGGTACATTCTTCATTGTTCGTAATTTGGCGGAACTGATTCAAATTTTTATCGCTCTTACCAAATTCATTCAAGTTGTCATCAGGCTTTGAACCAATTTGAGTAAAATAGCAATCGATTCCTTCTATATTCATTTGATATCGCGATGGATCGCCTGCGAGTTGCAGTTTCTCCACACTTTTCCACTTATCCAAAAATCTTGTCAAATATTTGCACGAAAATTGATTTTTTGAAATCGACAACCAAATCATATTCGGGAAATTGATTGAAGTGACACTATCGATGGTGATCAGTTGATTTCCTTCTAAATTTAAATGTTCCAAATGGAAAAATTTCCTTGAAAATATTGTCGGACCCACATTCGTCAAGCCGTTGTATGAGAGGTCTAGTAATTTTAAGCGAGTTTGATAAGAAAATGTATCTAACCCAATATTAGATAAATTCATATGACTCAAATGTAGTGCCTTTAAGTTCGTAAATCGCTCGAAAACACCCGCCATCAACTTGTCGATAAAATTGTATGAAAAATCAAAAATTTCAACATTTCCATTTAGATTGTCTAAAAATTCTAAGAATTTTTCTCCTCGACAACCAGAAACATTGAAAATTCGCACATTTTTAAATGTATATTCTTCATTGATACTTTTGAAATGATGATTTAGATGTCTGCAGTTGATATTAAGTGATTCAATTTGATTCCAAGAAATTTGTACCTCCAATGAATTTGCCAATGGTGAAAAATTGTCGAAATTGAACCGCTTCACTGGATTTAAATTCAGATTTAAATGCTTCAATTTCCCATTATTCACAAACATATTGTTATCTATCGTTTGGATTTTGTTTACACTTAGATCCAAGAACTCCAAATTGTACGCTTGCGAAAATGCCTCGCCAGATAAAATGCTCACAATATTATTCGATAAATTAATCATCGTCAGTTGGATGGCTCCGGCGAAATGTTTCGAAAAAATCATTTTGATTTTGTTGTGAGAGAAATTAACTGTCGTCAAATTAGGCATGAGGTTGAATGTTGATTTTGGCACTTCTACCAAGTCATTTCGAGAAATGATCAAATCATTGATTGTTTCCAAGCCATTGTTCGAATCCATACAATTCAATTGTAATGTATTGATCGATAGATTTGATAGATTAATAACACGTAACTTTGGGAACCGCTTCAAAAAACTGGAAGAAATGTTGATAATTCTTGAATCCGGTCCACATTTATCAAATTTCAATAGATCCACTTTGGGCCGATCGATCGCCATCGAAGAAGAATTCAAAAATATTGAATAACAATCGTTGTTTGAATGCTTAAAATTAGCACGACCACAGAATAATTCAACCGATGCTGTGGTGTTGTCGATGAAACGACAATCATTATAATCAATTGTTTTGGATGGTGAGCCTTCAAGTTTGATAAAGAACCAGAGCAAAATAGCGAAAAATATTCTAAACTTCATCTTATAATTCCAAGACTAATACTCAATGCCCAACTGATTCACTGGCAATAGCTTAAATAAATGACCAGTTTTAATTCGTTATGAATGACTACTACAATGATTAAGAAATGAATTACAAGTCGACGAAAAATGAGGCTGATTCGTTCTTTAATCTTTTATCAAATTGAAGCTGAATACAGTTGTAGAAACTAGTATGTCTAGCGCTGATGTCAATGTTCATTGTTGCTTAAGCCCACATCCTCTACAGAACTGATAAAATTTGTAATTAAGTGAAACCAATAAACAACGACTCCCATGAAAAAAAAAACAAAGAATATTCATTTACACGATATTTCATCAAGGCAGCTCTGCTAAAAAATAGCCAGTGACTGCCTCACACATTACACAAGCTTCTGTCTAGGGGGAAAGAACTAGGCATTTACACTGCGTTCCGTACTGTTATTGTTGTTGTTTTCTTCTGTTGGTTCGTCTCGTTCGTGGCGAGCACGAATGACAGTTGCAAATACGCACATTTTATTCACCATATTTGTATGCATTCGAAGCTAGTTATTCAGCGCATTGACACGCATTCTAGGGGCTTCCATGTATATTCCGTCCAAGAAATATACACCATAGATGAAAGTCATACGAAATATTCACAATACTGGCAAAATATGCACCATATTCAC